TCTGGACTTTGAGTTATTTAATGAGGTATCCTAAGTAACTCTAAAGCAATATAAAATATTTGTTGAGTGTTTCTCATATATCCTGTATTGTGCTAGTTCCTTTTATGCATTACCTCATATACTCTTCATAACAGCTCTGAGGTAGTTATTATAACTTTCCACATATTATAAATGAAAAAAAAAACAATGTCTAGGGGAAGTTAAGCTATATGCATAGATAAAATAGCTTTAAAAACAATCTGGTACCTTTGATTGCAAGTGTGATGTTTTACCACTTCCCTGAAAATCTGTCAGATTCTGAAGTTTGTAGCATTTGGGCATTAAGGCATAACATCTGTAATCATTTCTCTTCTACAGGTTTTGACCTGGGGCTGGTTTATGCATTCAAGAAATATGTTTTGGTGACTAGTAACATAATGATTTCTTGTGGCATGAAATGTGAAGGGTCTGAGATTTTACCTTACTTGCAAGCTGAGTGGTTGACTTCACACAGGTTCATCTATGCTGGTACAAGACAGAAGACTTTGGGGTCAGATACCCAGGACATTATCATTATTCACAGTAATTGCAGAAGCCAGAGTGCCAGCATTCACACTGGTTCCCTCAGTCCCAAATCCTAAAAAGTTAGGTGAAGAGGGCCAAGTGATGCCTGCACATGTCAAGGTTGGGTTAGAGAAGAGGAATTTTGAGATTAGAGAACTCCAATCTTTTATAAGGGACATTAAGTCTACCTGATCTTTGCTCAGGAAGGAGAGCTTATCCCACCATGACTACTTTACACTCTTGAAATCCCATGTAATCCCCAAAATGCAAACATTTCTGAGAACTTGACCTGGGTAATCTAAGCTAAGTTCTATTCCACTGCCATATGGAAGATTATTTTTATTATATCTTTAATAAGACAGTGTGGAATTTATATTTATCAAAGTGCAGCAACTGTAACCATTTGGTAGTTTGTGAGGCCAAAGTTGAAGGATGAGTATGCTTCATTTGTATTTTTCTAGCACTGTGACTGGTTGAATCATATACACCCTTGTTTGTTCTCAGCAGTAGAGAGATACTGTTGGCAAAATAACTTCATTTTTAAAGAACTATTACCACTGGACAATGCTCCAGGTCATCCTGAATTTCTTAGGGCCATGAATGAAAATGTGAAAATCTGTATTTTACCACCAAGCACAGCTTTATTAAGTCAGTCAGTCAGTGGATAGACCACGGAATTATTTCAACTTTTCGACCCTATAACTTTATATGAATTTTCAGACAGGCCATTGAAGATCATGCAATTAACCTTAGCTCATCTTTTGTAAATATGACTTAAAGCAAGCATTAGAAATCATGAAAGCATTCAGAAGGTAAAGCGAGTAATATTCGTGATGTATTGCAGAAACATTTATCACACTGTGCAAATAACTTTTCAGCATTCTAAGTTAACATAAATGGAGTTAACAGAAAAAAAAATCCTGATTGTGGGAATGTTGGCACTGCCCCGTTTGAGAAACATCAGGTATGGAGCCAGAAGAACTTAGCGAAGGTGACATTAACCAAAATGAAGTGGTTGTGCTTAGAAGGATGATGATGTCCTGAAGGAAATGACATTATCAAAAAACTTCACATTAAAGGAAATCTCAAAGATATTTTACAACACTGAATGTGCAAATCATAAAATGTGGGAAGCCAATTCAAACTTAGAAAGAAATAGGATAATTCGCTATGGCCCAGTAAAGATCCTTGCTCCATAACAGACGGCAAGCACTGTTTAAACTACTCTTGAAATGTCTTTCTTAACAAAGGAAATATTTTAATTCTAATTTACAGTGTATTAATTATTGTTTTACAATTTATTTCACCTCTATCAATTTCTAAGCTATAGTAAAAATTAAGTTTTGACAAATTTTTTAAAAATACTGTAACAGTTTTTTTTTCCTATGGATTATTAAGATTGATTTGCAAAATTTCAGCTTACAAAGGCATTTTTATAGTCCTGCAATACCATATAAAGCAAGTACTTTATATATATATGATTATTTATGATATAAATATATATTGCACATGCCAGAGATCGTTTCATAAGTATGAATTGTGTAAGTATCTTTATATGTTCCTGACAACTTGTTTGTGGTACTCATTACCTCTCACATAGAAAGGTATAAATCTACCATTTGCTCATCCATTTTCTCATCTTGTTAATCAACCCACAGTGTCCTTTCATGTGAATCTTTCTGAAATGCATTTGTGGGCATGTTGTAGCCTTTCTCAAAAATGAATAATCAAAAACGTCTGTGAATAGTATTAAATAAGAATGTTTTCCTGCTATCCTACTTTTTGTCATGCTACCTTCTCCACCAATGTCTTATTTTCTTTTTATCACTATCCATTTATTATATGAATGTATATATTTTTAAAAAATGAATAAATTAGCAAATATTTACTGGTACAACATTTTATAAACATTAAGTCAATTAACATTTTCCAAAATGTGATTCTTATACATAAGGCAATGTGTTAAATGATCTATTGTGGTGCTAGAAGGAAATATTAGAACTTCTTAAAAGAATAAATATTCGATTAATTCTTTTAAAATCTCAAATACAAAACAGAACTAAGCTTTAATACTTAAGTAGGTATTGACATTCTTATGGTGTTATCATGTCAAACAGTCACAAGTAGAAGGCAGAGTGGGAGTTCTGCACGGTGAAGGAAATTCTCCCACGCTTGTTCATGTTCAGCACATTGCAATCATTTAGACTTCATACAAATGCAGTTGAACTGGATTCATATATTATATAATCTTGTTTAAATCTCTCTTCACTAAATAAAAAAGAAATTTAAATTCAATGAGGACAGATGAAGATAAAAAGATTTATGTGGAGAGAGTTGGGGCAAATAAATGACACTTGACATGCTTACCTCTAGCATTAGGAGCTAAAAATTGATCTACCCAGAATTCAGCCAAATAACATTCAAAATTATTCAGAAGAAATCACAGCAGTAAATATTTATATGCACTATTGTTAATAATGAATTTTAACTTTAGTGTACATTTTCCTTGGAGATTTTTTGCTCATGGTAGCTTGGATATATCATAGGTGGCAAAATGTTAAAATTTAGCACCCAGAACATTAAGTCAGAATTATGCAATATTTTAGCAATGTTGCAAATTATGTGTACATTTTGAATCTGACAAAATTTTACCCATTTAGCAACAAATGAATAGCAAGAGACAAAAGTCCACATTTGACTGAGGTAGTATATTTTCTTCATACAGTGGAAATTGGCTAAAAGAGATGATGTGAAACAAAAGACAAAGTAAAACGTCTTGCTTGTTATCACATTTTTGTTAGATGTAGAGACATGTTAGAAATATAAAGAAACTCTGATTAGAACTAATCACTTAGAGTGAAAGGTTTGCTCTATAATTGAATGGAAGTTCAGGTTTTAAACATATCTTAGCTTATCATATCTGCAATATTTTATTTTAATAATGAAAAAATCACATTCTCTGAACTACTAAAGGAAATGTTCACTAAGTAAAATACGGTCTCATCAAAATGTGATGAGTTAAAGTGGTAAACTATAAATAGAATTTATAAATATATATTATAAATAAAATTTATAAATATAGTTTATAAATGTATATTATAAATAGAATTTATAACTTGTGGGGAAAAATTAAAGGGTAATTTTTATATAATGGTTGACCAGAATTCAAGCAGAGTTACTAAAAGAATTACTTTATAGAAATAGCATCATATATGAAATACACTCATTTGCAATATTCATAAGCAAGTTTATTACAGCAAAGATGTGAAAGTTTTAAACCAGAAGTGGAAAGCAGTTATCAAAAACAGATCACACTCTATAGTTTTTTTTGTTTTTTTTTTTTTTTTTTTTTTTTGAGATGGAGTTTCCGCTCGTTACCCAGGCTGGAGCGCAATGGCGCGATCTCCGCTCACCTCAACCTCCACCTCCTGGGTTCAGGCAATTCTCCTGCCTCAGCCTCCTGAATAGCTGGGATTACAGGCACGCGCCACCATGCCCAGCTAATTTTTTGTATTTTTAGTAGAGACGGGGTTTCACCATGTTGACCAGGATGGTCTCGATCTCTTGACCTCATGATCCACCCGCCTCAGCCTCCCAAAGTGCTGGGATTACAGGCTTAAGCCACCACGCCCGGCCTATTCTGGTTTTTATGTGTATTTCGCGAGCAGATAAAATATACCATGCTGTGGTGCATTTAAATAATTTATGAATATAGAGATGCAAATATATTTTGCATCTAAAAACTATTTTTCTGATAGACGCTAAAAACTTTTCTGATAGAATTCTGTTTTCAAGACTGTTGCTTCAAAACCTCGTTTTTGAAAAGCCACCACTTCTTTGAAGATTTCTCTCTTTTGTCCTTTTTAGAAGTGTTTAATTTGTTTTCTAAACTTTCATGTTCTTCTACTGAAACATGTTACCCACTCTGTTGTGGTATAGTCATTTTTATCCAGTCATTATCTTTGCTAGGTTACAGATTACCTAAGAGTGGGTCTTGCTTATCTTTGGAGTTAACTCAGCCAACAGCAGATTGGTGAGTATACAACTAGTGGCACTCAGATATAATACTGAATCATCTCAGGGCTTGCAAATATATATGGAATCATATTACAAATAATTTTTTATTCTACTTGCAGAACACCTTCTATTAGGTAAACAGGGATTAAAAATTACATCACCTGAGCTTCTTGCCAAAAATTCTCGCTAGGATACTCCACATCAACTCTAAAGACTTATGTTTTTAAATTGTTGCTATATAATGATCCTAGCCTTGATGACAATCTTCTTACCGGTATATATGGGAAACAAACACAGAAGCTGAAATATGACCTATGTGTATAATCACTCAAATAAATAGAATAAAACTATTGGCTTCAATATTGAATAACAATTTATTGACTTGTTGGTTTAATTTGTATAAAGATTGAAGTTTTATAAATAGCCAAAACCATGTACTTGTTTGTAGACATTGCTAAGGGCAAAAGCGGAGCTGGTCTAAATATGAACATCTTCAAGACTTTACTCATATGCACAGGTTTATATAAATTTGATATTTCATTTGTTTTTTAAGGAAACTAAGTTTAATTGTTAGTTAAGGAATTTGAATCCCTGCTGAGATCCTTTAAATTCATCGAATATTTCTTTCTGGTTTTTGTTCTTGCTATTTGTGTTTGTGTGTGTGTATGTGTGTGTGTGTCTAAGAGAAAGAGAGAGAGAAAGAGAGAGATATTAAATAATGAAAAAAAACTCAACTCTTAATCTTGGATTATTTTAGACAGTATTCTTTTTCCATAAGAGTCTTCTTTTTGTAGAGTAATTTGCTATGTAAAAATATTTATCTATCATATGACAGAAAGTCATATAAAATATCAGTTTATTAATATTTTAAACATTAAGTTATTTTTGATATTTCTTATATAATTTCCTTTTAGTCATATTACATATTCTGGGAATAAGTTTCAGAATATGCCTATTTCTGTTTTCCACTGTAGAGTTACAGCATCATGTAATTTACATTGGGCTGGATATTTCTTAAATATAGTATTTCCTTTTAGTCATATTACCTATTCTGGTAATATATATTGGAATATACCTATTTCTGTTTTCCATTGTAGAGGTACAGTGTAAGATCACAATTAAACCAAAAGCAGATCTTTTCTTTCTAATAAAAAGAAAAGCAATGAAAATAATTAAGAAAATTAAGAAAGGTCTTTTCCTTCATTTTTTAAATTAGCATTTTAAATTGTAATACAACAAACTTCATTAAAATATAGCTTATTTGAGCGTGTGAAATGATTTCACTGAAATGGCCAAAAAACTGACAGAAGATATTAGTAAAACTTGCTTTTGAAATAATCATTCTGTATGATAATTGTTAAATTCATGTTGGAGAAAGGAATAAACTAAAGATCTATTATAGCTGGGATCTAAACTTGTACTTTCCTGCAAGTTTGTTCTGCGCAGTTTATTACTGAAAAACCATACTGATGTTAGTTAAGAAAAAAAACTTAGTTTTAGATGAAACTCTTTACCCTACTCCAACTTCAGCTATGGTTGTAATGTATCGAGAAAAACATGTGGAAATACTGATAAAATATTGATTGTTGATAAAATTATTCATTTTAATATTTTTTCTTGGCGTTATTTAAAAAGTCCTTCTGTGTCTTCACACATTGAAGCAGAAATTCAGATTTTAATTAACCCAGTGAATTTGCCTGAAAATATGCTTCCTGGAACACAGCTAAGTCGTTCTTATGATAAAGATGTGGCTGGAAAGGGAGATGTCTACCGTTTTCTGAATAAAACAAAGGATTTTGTCATTGATGCCAGTAAGTAATTGTGACATTTATATGTTTATTTGCTTTATGGTTATTACTTTTTAACTTTATTTTTATAATTGACATAATAATTGTACATATTTAGGGGGTATATAATGTTGTTTCCACACATATAATTTGTACTGATCAGATCAGAATAATTGGCATATCTATCATCTCATACCTTTATCACTTCTTTGTGTCTGTAATAGTCAATATCCTCCTTCTAGCTATTTGAAACTATATATTATTGTTAACTATAGTCATACTACAGTGCTTAGTACCAGTGCTTAACACCAGAACTTATTCCTCCTACCTAGCTGCAATTTTGTAGCTTTTAACAAGTCTCCCTATCCCTCCCTTCCTTGTTGCTCTCCCAGTCTCTAGTATCCTCTGTTCTACTTATTACTTCCATGAGATCAATATTATGGAATATTATTCCATAAGCAGTTACTATGAAACACAGTGATTATGTAAGTCAACCAAGCAAATCCATTATCTATGAGATTTTCTTATATCCTCTCTTATACTTATTTTCACATAGATGCCTGCAATAAATGATAATAATATTAGAATAGGAAAAGATAAGTTTACTTTATAACAATGATAACTTTTCAGATATTAGATTTTATGTGAAAATGAAGGGATACTACCAACAAAGTTGGTCTGTGGGTTAGCATGTCTCTTTTATTTCAAAACAACCCCTCCCCAAACTTAACTTTATAGTGCATTTAAACTATAAAAACTAACAATTGCCCTTGGTTTAGTTAGCAAAGTGAATCACCTTGCCTCCTAATTCTCATACCATTGGAACAATTTTGATTTCCTGAACTAGTTCTACCCTATCAGTAAATTTCAAAAATTAATTTAAGTATCATCACATTTCAAAGTTATTTCTTAACAGTCCTAAATTCAAGCTCTGAAAAGTCTGGCCAAGAATTGTTCCTTTAAGGCAAAAAACAATAAAGACGAATATTTTTGTACTAATTTTTTGTTTTAAAATGTTTTAGTTTTGGTACAGTGAAGATAAACATCATAAATATCATTTATTAAGTTTTATATCCATGTTGCTTAAAAACTAGATCAGTATCACTAAATAAAATCATGATATGGTAGCTCTGTTTGCCTTGCATTGTTTACCATCCTTGGCTCATAATCTAATTGTTTGAAATTACATTAAAAATTAACTAATTAAATGCTAAGATTCTGTCCCTTTTATAAAGAACCAAATGTAAAATTTCTGCTAGCCAAAATTCTAGACCCAGTTTTAGGTTGACTTTGCCTGTTTTCTTACAAATTACTTGAGGTGATTTGGAGTGCCCATGGTAGTGACAGATGACACTTTAGGATGGATAGTTACATAAACTTCTGAGTTTGATCTGCGAACATAGTGAAAAGTAGTAAAGTTCTCCATTAGTTTTCTCCAAAACGATCCTGGTTTGCTGACTACCAACCCTGATATTGTCAGTGCTTGAGAACTAACTGTGGACTGGAATTTTCTCAAAAAGAAGTATTTTTTTTCTTTTTAATTTTTTATTGCATTTTAGGTTTTGGGGTACATGTGCAGAACATGCAAGACAGTTGCATAGGTACACACATGGCAGTGTGTTTTGCTTCCTTTCTCCCCTTCATCCACATTTGGCATTTCTCCCGAGGCTATCCCTCCCCAATTCCCCCTCCCGCTGGTCCTCCCCTTCCCCCGCCAATAGTCCCCAGTGTTTAGTATTCCCCTCCCTGTGTCCATGTGTTCTCATTTTTCATCACCCGCCTATGAGTGAGAATATGCGGTACTTCATTTTCTGTTCTTGTGTCAGTTTGCTGAGAATGATGTTCTCCAGATTCATCCATGTCCCTACAAAGGACACAAACTCATCATTTCTGATTGCTGCATAATATTCCATGGTGTATATGTGCCACATTTTCCCAATCCAGTCTCTCATCAATGGGCATTTGGGTTGATTCCAGGTCTTTGCTATTGTAAACAGTGCTGCAATGAACATTCGTGTGCATGTGTCCTTATAGTAGAACGATTTATAGTCCTTTGGATGTATACCCAGTAATGGGATTGCTGGGTCAAATGGAATTTCTATTTCTAAGGCCTTGAGGAATCGCCACACTGTCTTCCACAATGGTTGAACTAATTTACACTCCCACCAACAGTGTAAAATGTTCCTTTTTCTCCACATCCTCTCCAGCATCTGTTGTCTCCAGATTTTTTAATGATCGCCATTCTGACTGGCGTGACATGGTATCTCAAAAAAGAAGTATTAATACATTAGTCTGTGAAGGCAAAAAATATATATTATTGTTTCTACTCCTCACATCACCCTGCACCTAACCAGGTGGCTGGATGATAGGTTCTCCTAGGTTCATTGAAAAAGTGTGACATTGAAAATAACAGCATTTAACAACTCTCATTTAAAACAACAACAACAGCAAATATGTAACAAAGTATTTGTTTTCACAATCAAGAATCCAACCACTGCTAACTGCAAACTCAAATGTTTCTGAAGTCCTCTGACAAAACAACAACCTATTTTCTTACCGTGATGTTTTTTATTCAGCGTGTGATTTCTACAGTTATACACAATTTTAATTAGATATAAATTCTGAAATGAGATGTAGCATAGCTGTTTAATTTATATTTAAGATATTTGTAAATATGTGTGTTTATTTGTGTGGTATTCTCAGAAAATGTTATAATATTGCTGAACATAATTTTTATAAATTAAAGGAAAGGTTTTTAAAACAAAAAGAATTTTACATCTTATTCACCACCCAACGTCACCCCACTTGAATGATTTACTGATTTGGCTGGAGTGATTTACTGGAGTGGCTGAACACAACTCCATACACTTAGAATAAACTCACTCTTTTCCACCGAACTCAATTCCAAACTCTGTTGATTCACCTGCTCCCCTTTCTCTCAGTCCACAGGACTGTGCTCTAAATCTCAAATTTTGAGTAACAACTGTTTCATTTTGACTAGGGTCAGATACTGGAAATCTTCCTTTAGTAGGAGAGTTTCTGATTTCTGATAATTAGATTTAATTGCCTGCCATTCTGACCCAGGACATTTTTTTTTCCTGTGTGTCTTCTGCTAGAAGCAATACCACAAACCTTGACCTGACTCCCAAATGAATCTCCCATTCTCTTTGCACAACACTTACCAATTAATATAGAAATATCTGAATCTGATTTTACAGAAAATATGTGCCCCCTAAATTCACCTCTCAAGCTTCTTGTGTTCTCATACCTTTCAGTGGTGCCCTGTGAAATGGTAATGGCCTTTATATGGTAAATAAATAGACAAATAAAATCCCTTGCTTTCTCAACCTATTTTGTGACATTTCCCTACCTCTTGGCTTTAACTGAAATTTGCTGTCCTATGGGATGACCGCAGCATGCCTCAAGCTGATGTTATTCATTCTCCCACATATCTCATATCACTGGGTCAGGAAGTGGGAGTCGGCATTCTTTTCACTCCACAAAGCTGATTCCTGACCATTTCCCTGATCCTCTTTGGAAACTCCCTTGCTCATTTGAAGCTCGGGATATTTGGCTCCTTACCAAATCGTACTAATCACTCTCAGTTGAGTCCTGGGGACTTGAATATATCACTCACAGTGTTTCTCCCTATCTCAGATCCGGCCACTACCTTTTAGGGTACTTCGATATTCACATTTTGGCCTATCCAGTCCTCCAGATTCTCAGTCCTTTTACTTTATTTTGTGTAAATCACATACTCCCAAGGCTGTACCCAGAACTTCATCAGCACCCAGAACAGTGTTACTTCATATTCTTAATTTCAGAATCCCACTCCTAATGCTTTTTCAATTCTTTTATTCAGTTATCCTTACTATACGTTTTATCATATCTGAAGTCAACAATCCATTGATTTATTCTTTTGCTCTCTATCATCACCTCTTTTCTTTACGTTCCTATCTGGCAGTATGATCCATCTTTCAACCTTTCCTGGACAATATCTTCAGATAATTTGCCCTGTACTTCTTCTGTAACCATTATCTATGAAAACTGCAATTTGAGACCCAATAATCGATATGCCTAAGCTTATGAATATTGCTGGAAAAAAATCACATGAGCCAGCTTATTAAGTCTAAATTTTGCTTAGCCCCGACATGCTTTTTGGTAGTTCTTCAAAATTTCTCTAGTTAGATCTCTCTTTAATTTGCCAAGTTGGTTATATTAGAATTTCTCCAGACTCACATCATATTTTATTCACCTGAAACCTTATTTCTTGGCAGACAAAATCAGCTTACAAATTTGAGGAAAAATATAAGCAATCAAGAGGGAAATTCCTTAGGCTATTTGCTATATATAGTTAGTTATTTGCAATGAACTCCTTCTTTGTGCTCTTCTGTTGCAAAAGAAGATTCATGCCTTCCTTTGTCTACTTTCATTCCTTTCAGTTTGGTTGAGTTCCATATATTCACTCCTCATATAACTTTCTACACTAATTATCTCCTTTTCCTGTATTTTCTCTTCTTCCTACTGATTCTTTTCTATAACTTTCAACTTATCTTATAAGTCTTCCCTATCTTAACAAAATTCCCTCTTGCCCTATGTCTCTTTTCTTTTACTGTCTTCTTCTTGACATTTTATAGAACATCTGGCATTTCATCTAACTGGCTAAATATTTTTAGAGCTCTCTACAACATTTTTCTTACTCCTACACTTTCCATTTATTTTTGAACAAAGTTGTGACAGGTCACTTCAACAAGACATGCCACCATACGTAGCAATATTTTTATTGTTAAAAACAATGCCATATTTAAGTCTTCATCTTATATATAACCTCTCTTTAAAATTTAGAGGTGAAAAACACTCTAGTTTTTGAAACATGCTCATTTTTTTTATTCTTATTGTACTATACTCTGCTAGTTTTCCCCATATATCTCCTCTTCCTGTTCTTCCTCTTCATTCTCCTAAATTCTTCCTCTGTTTATTCTGTACATTTTTGTGTTATTCAGGGCTGCTTAGGTTTTCTTCTC